AAAAAAAAAAAAAAAGAGCATGAACTCTGGCCTGGTGTGGTGGCTTACACCTGTAATCCCAGCACTCTGGGGGGCCGAGGTAGGCAGACCCCTTGAGGCCGGGAGTTTGAGACCAGCCTGGCCAATGCAGTGAAACCTCATCTTTACTAAAAATAAAAAAACTAGCTAGGCATGATGGCACATGCCTATAATTCCAGCTCCTCGGGAGGCTGAGGCAGGACAATTGCTGGCACCTGGGAGGTAGAAGTTGCAGTGAGCTGAGATTACGCCACTGCACTCGAGCCTGGGTGATGGAGTCAGACTCCATCTCAAAAAAAAAAAAAAAAAAGAGCATGGATTCTGGCCAAGAGCAGTGGCTCACACCTGTAATCTCGCACTTTAGGAGGCCAAGGAGGGAGGATCATTTGAGGCCAGGAGTTTGAGACCAGCCTGGGCAATACAGCGAGGTTCCCATCTCTATAAAACAAACAAAAGAACAGACTATGGAATCAACCTGGGTTCAAATCCCTTTTCTGCATATCACTCTATGACACCTCTCTCTCAGCCTCAAGTCACCTCATCTATAAAATGGGGCGATGATCATGGTAGTACCTACCCCAGAGAATGGCTGGGAGGACTCAGTGAAATAATATAAGTGGGGAGCTTAGCCCAGAGCTTAGCCTAGGTCCTGGCTGGAGCAGGTGTCCTGTCGCTGTCAGCTCTGCTCATCTCTCTCCCAGCCTCCCTACCTCCTGCTAGTGGCTGGCCCAGGGGGCCTGGACCCCCAGCAGTCAGGGCAGGAAGTGGCTGGTTTGTTTGTTTTTGAGACAGGGTCTTGCTCGGTTGCCCAGGGCTGGAGTGCAATGGTGCGATCTTGGTTCACTGCAACCTCAGCCTCCAGGGTTCAAGCGATTCTCGTGCCTCAGCCTCCCGAGTGGCTGCAGGCGTGTACCACCAGGCCCAGCTAATTTTTGTATTTGAGTAGAGACGGGATTTCACCATGTTGGCCAAACTGGTCTCGAACTCCTGACCTCAGGTGATCCGCCTGCCTGGGCCTCCCAACGTCCTGGGATTACAGGCTGAGCCACCGCGCCTGGCCTGGATGGCTGGTTTTTTGTTTTTGTTATTCTTTTTTTCTCTCTCTCTCTTTCTTTGGCTGGCTGTTTTTGAGAGAAGAGCAGGGTGATCTGATTTGGCCAAGGAGCGGGAGGCCAGCTTCCCCGAGGAAGGAACATCCGAAAAAACATCCGAGCTGATGCAAGAGGCAGTGTGAGCCTGGCCCAGGGAGCGGCACGTGGGAAGACAGACAGAAAGGAGGAGGTGGGGGCAAGCACTGAGGCCCCATAGCCGTGGGAAGAGGCTGGACTTTCTCCTGTGGGTGCTGGGAGCTCTGGGGCCTGGGACACAATCAGCACTGAGTCTCTGGAAGCCCCAGTTCTTTTCTCATTAAAGAAAAAATATTGTGCTGGACATTGTTCTAGGCGCCGGGTAAACAGAAGGGAGCAATACAAAGCCCTGCCTGATGGAGCTGACATCAGGAGGAGGAGACAGACAGCAGACACAGAGCCATACCGTGCCAGGTGGAGATAAGTGCTGGGAGAGAAATCAGGTAGGGTTAGGGGAGAAAAAAGGAAGGGGACGGGGCCAGCCTGAGCAACATGGCAAAAACCTGTCTCTACAAAAACAAAACAAAACAAAAATTAGCCAAGCATGGTGGTACACACCTGTAGTCCCAGCTATAGCTACTCTGGAGGCTGAGGTGAGAGAATCGCTTGAGCCTAGGAGGCAGAGGTTGCAGTGAACCGAGATTGCACCACTGCACTCCAGCCTGGGCGACAGAATGAGACTCCATCTCAAAAAAAAAAAAAAAAAAAGTAGGCGTGATATATGTGAGGATCAGCAAGGAGGCCAACGTGGCTAAAGCGAGGTAACCCAAGAGGGCAGGATGGGAGCCGAGGTCGGGGAGGCAATGGGGGCAGATCGTGCGGGGCCCTAGAGGCCTCAAGGACTTTGCCTTTACCCTGAGTGAGGTGGGAGCCACAGGACGGTTTGAGCATAGAAACAATATCCGACTTGTATTTTTTTAAACAATTATATTGCGATATACAGCCGTGTGCGGTGGCTCATGCCTGTAATCCCAGCACTTTGGGAGGCCGAGGCGGGCAGATCACGAGGTCAAGAGATCGAGACCACCTGGCCAACATGGTGAAACCCCGTCTCTACTAAAAATACAAAAATTAGCTGGGCATGGTGGTGCGCGCCTGTAGTTCCAGCTACTCAGGAGGCTGAGGGTGGAGAATGACTCCGACCCGGGAGGCAGAGGTTGCAGTGAGCCGAGATCTCGCCACTGTACTCCAGCCTGGGCAGCTGAGTGAGACTCCATCTCAAAAAAA